TCTGTAGCCTTCCAATTTGGTAATGCCAATTTGAAGTTGGAACCTTTTCTGAGTCCACAGGTCTTTTGGGTGGCTTTCTTGTTTTTCTATGTCTGATTCTATCTTAGATATCTTTATGGATATCATAATACTGCTTCTTGCCTCTTCTAACAACTCTCTGTAATTGTTTGTTAAGTTTCTTCCTGAGACCTTTGTCCTTCTTGGCTTCTCTACTCATAGCAATTCCTACCATCTGTTCTGACATCCAGTTTGCTTTCTTCTGTTTCTTGGTTTTTCGCAGTCTCTTTTCACATTCATTCTTTGGGTTCATTCTACAGTTCCCTGGTTCCCTAACAATAAGGATCAGGACTTCAAAGTGATTCCTGATGTTCTCCTTGAAAATTGAGTAAATATATGCTCAAGAGTATATTGTGGAAACCAGTTGGCTTTGTTCCTCAGCTTTAACTTGACTTGGAACTTGCACATTAGAAGCATATGATCTGTTCCACATTCAGCCCATGGGAACATATTTGCTGTTACAACTGAACTCTTCCACCTCCTTCTACCAATAATATAGTCAATTAGATGTCTTTCTGCTCTAGCTAGTAATGTCCATGTATATTAGCATCATTTTGGTTGTTGGAAAATTGTGTTAGCAATGAAGAAATTGGCAGCAACCTTGTCAACCTTCTCTTTTTTCTGCATCAGTAGTTGGAACATAAACATGGATAATCATCATATTAAAGGGTGGTCCACAAAATGGTGGACAACAATGTTATTTGGTCACTGACTGGATCATGCCCCAGTGTTGTCTTTGTTAGATCTTTCCTATGAAAACAATGTCATTCCTTCTTTTTCATACCCTGAGTAATGAACAGTGTGATCTTCTGATTAAAAGTTTCCAATTCTAATACATTTAAATTGGTTGATGCCTAAGACATCAGTGTGTAGTCAATTCATTTCATCTTTCACTGTGCTGAACTGTCCCATGTTCATACTTTTTATGTTCTGTGTTCCCACTGTAATTCTGTCTCTGCAGCTTTAGATTTTCTTTTCCTGGTGACAACAACAACAGCTGGGCATCCAAAACGCTTTAATCTAGCCACAGCATAAACACCCTTAGTACTACAAAAGATCTTCAGCATATCTTTAATAGCATGTTGAGTGCCATCTCATCTGAGGGGCTCTTCATCCTACACTGTATTGACAATTATTTTTTCTTGTCTATTTGTGTTGGTTTCTTGGAAATACACAGATGTGGTTTACCATTGCCATATCCTACACAGGATGAAATTATTCTTTGTTGTTGTCACTAAAGTGACAGTACACCTCCAGCATCTTCCTATACTGCTGCTAACCAACATAGGCTTCCTGCTTGCTTTAGCTGTGCAGCTGGGATGACCTTCATGCCTTGAGCTACCTTCAATGGGAGCATATGCTTTTGGTATATACCCCCAGCATTCTTCACTCATCCCTCCCAGGAATGCACCACCACCACCATGATGAGGCAGCATGGCAGGACTTGGGGGGCATGCATACTTTACTTCCGTAACATAACTTGGCATATTCAACAAACAACCTTCATATTCATACTTGCACAAGACATGAAACCTATTGACTTTTTCTAAATCAGTGAACTTATCAATTTTCTTTTTTGCATTCATTCATTTCTGAGTGACATGCTCAAAAGCAAAAGTCTGCACACCTTCTGTCCAGAATAAAACTACATTGCTTTTCCCAAATTTTGCTCATTGTCCCTTGTTAATCAGACTTCTGACAAATACCTTCCCAGATACATTTAAAAAGCAAATGCCCTTGCAGTTTTTTGCATTCAATATATTTCCCTTTGTCCAGATGAACAGTAGTGACATTCTTCTAATTATCAAGTACAAATGTAGTCTTCACACATATTTCAACAAGTTGCACAACCTCTCCATAAGCAAACCAGATCCATATTTTAACTTTCCCCAAGTTACACCATCTGCAACTGCAGCTTTACCATTTTTCAACATTTTCACAGTCCTATGACTTCCTTTTCATAATTTTTCTGGCACACTAACATTGACAACATTCACTTTAATGAAGCTCTATCATTAACTCTCCTTCCAACATTTTCTCATTTCCACCCTATTCCAAATTATTTCATCATTTTTATTTTTAATTCTATTTATTCTGCTAGATGCTGCTCTTCACCCAATTGAAGAACATTGCTTTTTATTTCTCCTAAAACACTCTGTGTTTTCTCTCCCTGTTTTAATCATAACAGTCCCTTGGTTTTTTGTCTACATTCTTTGCAACTATTTCTCCTTATACACTTTACACAGTATATATCTCTCATCCTCATGTTTTATAGCAATCATTCTTTCATACGCATCTTTTTTAAAGCACAGCCTATTTCACATAGATATTGTCTATGCTCCAGTGCCCATCGTGGCTTTAATCAATCAAGGCTTTCATATACCACTTTTTTGTAATACAGAGCAGGTTACTGGCCATAATCATACCCATGCCATATGCAGCATTCTCTGCTAATGGTGAGGACAGTATCACTCAGTTTTGACAAGTTTGGCCAGTATGCCAAATTTATGCCAAAACAAGCATAAATAAAGTCCAAAGTACTTGCTTGCACTATTCCTTGTAAGACGGGCTCTGTTACCTGGAGACTGCCTGGCAGACCAACATACTGTTGCCTGCCTCCCACAGCTTGGAGGGATATACAATGCATGGACACACAATTCAATTAATTAATAACAGTTAATATAATTATTTCCGGGATAGCAAATAATTTTCCAATTCTGTCCCTTTAAAAATCACAGTTTGGTGGCTATTTTTGGAGAGAGCTCTGAGGGCTAGATTAAAGATTTTGAGAAACTGTAGGTTGAATCCATGTTTGAGATAAAGATTTTGAGAAGCTGTAGGTTGAATCCATTTACAACTATATGTGCTTAAACCTTGTACCCATGCATCTATGGAGCTTTACCTAAACAAGTGTGGTTCCACTTTTCATTTGAATATGCAGAAGCTAGGGATGGAAGGCAACCAATGTGATTCAGATAACCCCCACTACTCTTTCAATTAACACTTAATAACAATATTAATTTTATCAAAAAGGACTGTGGATATTTGTCAAGTGTTCTTTTATTTCTAAGCTTTCTTTGTTTTGCTTCCCAGATATGCCAATTCCACCTCTAATTGGTATTCAAAGAGTTATTATAAAAGCCATAATTAGTATTCTTTGATTACAACACACTGACAAATGGTAGCCTTTTGTAACTATCTTCCTTTTCTTTGTCACCTTAATTTCAAAACCATTCATTGTGATAATTGCAGGTAACATGTAAGAGCTGGGTTGGATAAAATAGCTAATACAGAGTTCCCTTGTTACAAAGACATAATTCCTGACAAGAAAGACAAACCATTATAATTTACCATTGTTCTCACTACCAACATATGAGAAGACACTTATTTCAGTCTTGTTTTCTTTCCGTGGCCCCTTCTATAGTGGGAACTAGTGATGATGATGTTAACACCAACTTTACTGTTAGATTTTCTCTGGTCCCCATTGCATAGGACATCAGATGCTTCATGGACAGATTCACGGTGAGAAATGATCATCTCAGATACAAACAAATCATGGATTGTTTAAGTTCAGCATAGCATAATCACCTTGCAGTGGCACTTAATGTACTAATCCTTCAGCAATGCAATTTATCTGTTCCCCACCAGTAGTATGAGCAGACGATTGATTACATTCACTTTAGTAAAGAACCAAGCAGTACATGTAAATTATTCAGTTCTTGATCGTGAACTGATTATTGTCTTGTTTGATCACTCAGAGATCCAAGTCCACATCTATTTCACACAAGAAAATCATGTTTTTGTCATTATTCCATTTGTTTTTATTACTGAAGACTGCTTCTTTCATTAGTTATTCACTAATGCTTCGGTATTTCACTGCATCAAATCGTTGTTGTTGTTGTTGTTGCTGGCAGAAGTAGCAGCAGGAAAGCTGATTTGGAGGACTGCTCCTGCCAACTACAGTTGTATCCAGGGTGTGCTGCCAATTTTTTAATAAGGGGGCTTCCAGTCATAGACAGCGGATGGACGAGGGAGAGGGAAATGCATTATTGGTGTAGATAACCCTGAAATAAATGAATCAGTGGTTTGACCCACAGAAAGCAGAGTCCTATTCCCTATGGATCTGTGGTGTGCTGATCTTTCACATGTTCCTCCAAGTAACTCTTCTGATGATAGAGATACTAAAGTTCAGTTTCGCCAGTTATTGATGCTTGGGATGGACTCTTTTAGGATTTTAATATGGGAAATAACCCAGGCTTGCTGTACCTGTGACAGAAGCAAACTGTGAAGAGATGTAATTTATCAGTGCTAGAGGAGTGCCTTTACTTTGATATCCAGGGGTGAAACCAAATAGATGGTAATGGTATGATTCCTATTTATGGTTATTGCTTGACATCTTGAGGACTGTCTGATGGAAAGGTGGCATATAAATTTGACAGATAAATGAAGCCAGTCAACGTTAGTCCTTGCTCTGTTGCTCTGTTGGTTTCTTTTGGATGAAACCAAAAGATGAGATTTTAAATAGTCAATTATCATTTCCCTTTTTTAAGAAGATAGTGTTGAGTCACTTTGGGAATGGCATGTTCTTTAAATCTCAAAAGTGGGAAATTAATGAAATAAATAATATCAAACCTTTCTTGCTATGTTGCTCTTTAAAAGAAGCTGACCTGCCCTGATTTTTGCAGATCACTCTTTTTTAAAAAAAAGAAAAGAAAAGAAAAATCCAATTTCTTTTCTTTCCTTTACCCTCTAGCTCTGTACTTTCCCCTGTTCCTTAAAATATAAAGGCAGTTTTCCTAGCCTTGCTTTGACTTTTACGAATCATATAAAAACAAAATAAAAATGCTTAAGAGCTCTTGTTATACGTGTTGTCCTTTGCTTGCCAAAAGCCTGGAAATGTGGAATCAAATATCTTGTGTTTTTTGTCTTCTCCAATATTTAAGGTCTCTTCAAGATCTCTCCAGGCAGACAGATATTCCTTATGGCACCGTTTTGGATTCTGCAGTCTATGAACATGTACGGGTGAAAGGGATGAATCCCTTTGAGAAGAACAACATGTATTCCAAGTTGTGGCAAATGATTAACCGAAGTAATGGGTCTGAGAATAATGTGCAAGAATCCCAAATAGGCATTCATAAGGTAAAGTCAATAGGCCAACCTTTTTCTTGACCATTAGAAAAATTCTTGGGAATAGATGGATTGTTTTGCAAACAGTGTTTTGCTACGGAGTTGTTAGGACATGAAAAATAATCACCTTAGAGTGATTTTGGCATGTGGTTCACTATACTGGGTCCTAAAATTGGAATGATTTGTACATTTGGTTATATGCTTTTTCAAAAGAAAAGTCAATGATCTTTTATTTTCCCTTGAAAAGGTCAAGCCAGTTGTTCACCAAGGTTTTTTTTTTTCTTTTTCTTTTTACTCTATGTGTAATTAGCTCTGCAAGTAGAGAGGGAACAGCTATTCACAGGTAAGAACCTTGCTTTTTGCTTAGAGCAGTGTTTCTCATCCTTAGCAACTTGAAGACTTTAACATGGCTGGCTGGGGAATTCTGGGATTTGAAGTTGACACATCTTAAACTTGCTGAGGTTGAGAAACCCTGGCTTAGGGTGACAGATTTTACTTATTCATTAAGAGAAACAAGATGATCAGGTTACCACTTGTAATTTGCATTGCAGCTTTAGGGCTACCAATTAGACTAGAAATATAGAAGTCCCATCTATGAACTTTTTCACAAGTTCTGCCACCAAATTACTTTTCCTCCAGAGATCAAGACCTCAGGCATGCAAGCAGCAAGTAAGGAGAGAGGTCATGAACGCTCATTGGGCTTCAGAGTTTTACAGCTACTGAGTTGCAGTTTGGCAAATCTAAGGAACTTCTTGAATAAGAATGGTTCACCAGTGAGCCAACTTGCCTAAAGAGATGAGAAACCCTTTTCCTTTCAGTTTTTCCAAAAAGAGGAAGAGGAGGAGGAGAAGGAGTTATTTGGTAAAGAACACTCAGTTTTCTGATAAGAGACAAGTTGATCTGCTTTATGTTTTTAAAAGGTTCGCTTGCTTCAGAGAATCTGAGTCTGGTTCTCCACAGGTTCATGCTTGTTAAATAACTAATTTTATAGATATGTCTGCTGGGAAAAACTGGGTCCAACTAATTGCTTATCATCATTATTCACTGTTACTCCTTTTTTGCCATCCAGTGATACCAAATGTCCTTTATCCCATTTATGTTAGTCTATAGATATATGGCACCCCACTTTACAGCTTATTCTTCCCCTTTCCCTCCTGCAGTTATCTGCTGTGAAAAACATATCTTTTCCCCAGTGAATAGGCAGAATCACAATGTGCTTAAATAATAGCTCAGTACATTTAACTTGGTATACAAAATATTTAACTGGTACGAAAACTGTGAATTACTGTCAAGTGAAATAAAGCTTTTGGATTTCACAATAAAAGAAGTTCAATTTTGCAAGCCAGGATGTTAATATTCAGGCTCCAACTCAGCAGTAGCTGAATCGCAGATAGATTGGTTCTTCAACTCTTTTTTCTCTTTTTGTTCCCCTAATTCTTACTGGGAGAAAGAATGACTTTCTTTATTTTGCTGACAAATAACCTTTTGATTATGATAGTTAAATTCCTTGCACTGACAAGAATTACTAGGGCTGATGATGCCACAATGCTTTTCTACCTGAGTCACACACTAAAGTGAAATAGATCAGAGGGAATCTTTCCTTTTATGTACAATCAAGGTTGACTCCTAGTGACTATATTGGTGCAGTTTTCTTAGCAGTATTATAGAAGAGATTGTGAATGCCTTCTTCTAAGTTGATTTTCAACCTCCCAGTCTAGCCTACAGCCCTGGAATTTCCAGGTGGTCCCCCATCCAAGAATTATCTGGAATTGTCCCTACTTAGCTTCTAACACCACCAGGAAATCCCAAGGTTGTAGACCAGACTGGGAAGTAAAAATCAAAACCTTCCCAGTAGATAGCAACAGCAAGATTGATTGATTGATTGATTGATTGATTGATTGATTGATTGATTGATTGATCATATTTATATTGCCGCCCATCTCACACAAAGTGACTCTGGGTGGCATACAACAATTAAAAAGAATAAATATATAAAAACAATTACAAATAAAAAAACTATAAGTTACTTCTCTACTTTTGCCAAGATAATGGATCATGCAGTCTCCATGAATCAAGTTTGAGGAATGTGCAAATCTTGGAATTTTATGTATAGTATGGGATCATGATATCTATGAGATCTATAAGCTCATGTAATATATCGTATAACTGGAAAATTATGTCCTAGCTTTCAATCTAATACTATCTAAATGGATTATGTGTCAGAAGAGTGGGTCTAACTAGCATACTTGCTAAACTTACATAGAAGCTGCCAATTAACTATGTAGCTGTAGACAATTATAAACAATAATTGTTAGGATGCTGTTTACAGCCATGATCCACATCTTTTTCTCTGAAGCTGAGAGACTGACTCCTCATACTACTGAGTCTACTTGTAGGAGGAGAAATCTACAGAGTCTCAGAAGTCTGGACTTGGAAGTTGTGGGACATATGAGGGCCAATCCAGAGCCCTTGCTCCTGCCTCTACTGCTGTCTTCCTTGGCTGTCTGCCAGGTGGTCCCCATGGGGAACCACTGGCTGGCACCCATGCACTTTTAATTGAAGCATCCCTGTGATACAAAGCACTCAAATCCTTTTCAGAATACAAGACTGGAGCAGCCAGCCCAGTTTTCTCCCGATGTTGAGATTTTTTTCACATTCATTGACTACCTTATAACTCTACAGAATAACTTTCCACCTGATTAAAGCAAGTGACTTTGATGCCTAATTTTGAAGGGTTGAGATGGAGAAACAGAGTTTTCCAGGCCAAGGTATCACTTCAAATTGGATCACTGCAAGGGTGTAAGTTGAGATAACACCTTCAGATGGAGCACAGACACTTCATATAGATCAAATATATAAAATAAATGTAGTCGCATTTATAATAATTAACTAATCCAATGCTACTATTGGCTATAATAATGATTGAGTGGTTTGAATGGAAGTCTGACTGAATTGCTCTGTGTACATGAATGACAGTAGAGCCTTCTCATATTTAACATTTCCAGATCTGAGGACTACCTTGCATTTTTAATTTCTCTGAGCACTTACCTATTAGGTCAGCAGTCAAAGTAAGAGAAGAGTGCTTCCTAGAGAGCTGGAAGTAGAAGTCAATTCAGCCACGTTAATCCATATGCCATTTTTAGGTATTTTTTTTTCATTGTAATATTTGTTTATTGGACATCTTCAGAGCTTTAGGGGAATAAAATTTATATTTGCATATCATGGATGAAAAAGGACTTATTTTTTTATTAAACAGATAGAGACTGCAGATAAAATAGATAAAACAGGGTTAGGGTTCATTTCATAATTGTTTACCTCTGTCCACTTTGGGATTTTGAATAAGAAGAAGAATTGAGCAACTTGGACTGGGATAACTGCACTAGATTACTTTGATTTCTCTGTATTTTATCTGTGACCGTACATTATATGAGCCAGATGTATCCATGAAATGTTGATAACAATGGTAGGAACAATCCTAATCTCCTGTAAACTTTCCATCAGCCAATTTTAGCATCTCACTACCTGTCAACACATGAAGGGTGCCTTGGCAAAACTGATGCCTAATAGCAGTGATGTTCAATATCTATCAGCCAGCTAGAAAGAACAGCCAAGTGGGATTTCTTTAAAAAAAAAAAAGTATGAGTATTAACACTGTTTTTGTAAATACTGGAGCCTAGAATATTTTACTAGAAAAATACTTTAAAAATCCATAAAATAATCTTGGTGCGCAGGCTTTATAATCCATATCCTATTTCCCTGGGATTTTATCTCTGCAGACTCAAACACATACAGCATGCATGTACACACAGAATGATATGTTTGCACCTTATTTTACCTATCTGCTTTCAACTATTTGCTGCAATAGGTGCACTGGAAGGGGTACATCCCTGGTATTACTATGGTTAAGACTAAGTGCTTTTTTTGTGTGGGGGGGGTCTCTTTTCCAAGAATGACCTGATATGGTAATCACAAAATCGCTTATTGCCTATTGGTTTATTATTTCGGTTTTGAGGCCACCCAACTGCCCAGCAACTCTGGGCAGCTTACAGTTAAACAATTTAAAATAAATGTAAAAGAAAACATGTATATTAAAGAAAAACAATGCAGCTGTCTGGAAGACAGGACCCAAACAACAAAACAGAAGCCCAAAGGGGCTCAACCGCCATCCTAGTCCAAGGCCTGAAAGAACAACCAGGTCTTTAATAATTTGCAGGAAGTCAAAAGGGTGGGAGATGACCTCAGGGATATCATTCTAAAGGGCAGGAGCCATTCATGAGAAGGAATGCTTCCTGGGTCCTGCAATGTCACACTACTTAATCGACATGACCTGGAGTGTGCCCACTGATTGTCTCCTTTCTTTCCTTTTCACATTTGTATCATGCCTATTTTATTGTAAGCCATTACTTTAAACTTGTACCATGCAGAAATGTTCTTCTGAATTATTCCTACCAGTCGTCTTTCAGTCTGATGAAAAAGCATTTGCTTTCAACATTTCTTTCAAAGGAAAAGAGAAATTCTTATGATGGCATAAGTGTGATATTCTTGCCCTAACTTAGGCACAAAGCAGCAGGCAGTGGTCTTTGAACAATCTCTCCAGTAATCTGCAGCCTCCATGGTTTCCCATGCTTCATTTTTATTCCAAAGGAAAACCTCATGGTTTGAGAGCGATAGAAAGTAACAGAAAAGTGCACCACCGTCAGTCATCTCATGCCACAAGAGTTTGATCAAAACCATGACCAAGAAAAATGTCACTGAAATTCTCAGATAGTGTGGATTTAAGATAGACAAACAGAAACTATTTCCCAAGTCGGGGGGGGGGGGGACATTATAAGAAATTACAAGATAGATTTCAGTACAGCATTATCTTGAATAATTTTTGGGAAGGTGTTCCTTAAAGATTCAACAACAGATACATTTTCTGAAACTATAGTTTCCAGGAATTAAAAGCTCACTGCTGTTTTGCTTTTGGTAGCTGATTTTATTTAAATATGGCCACTTCCTGTTTATGCTCT